GTGATGGAGCTGCCATTGATCACTTCGCCAGCAGAGCAATCCCCAGGAACTGGACCAGAAAAGCTATTTATTGAGTAGAAAGAAATGGGGCTTCAAATCACAGTAACTGGGGAATTACTGGCAAGAGGTAAAAATGTTTTGCTGCCACAAAAGGAGGCAGGAAATCGGGGAGGCTCGGTAGCCTCAAAGCTGTGACAAGAGGAATGGGGCTGCCATTGATCACTTCGCCAGCAGAGCAATCCCCAGGAACTGGACCAGAAAAGCTATTTATTGAGTAGAAAGAAATGGGGCTTCAAATCACAGTAACTGGGGAATTACTGGCAAGAGGTAAAAATGTTTTGCTGCCACAAAAGGAGGCAGGAAATCGGGGAGGCTCGGTAGCCTCAAAGCTGTGACAAGAGGAATGGGACTGGCAAAAAGAAGTGAAGGAGCCAAACCAAAGCACAAATGATCAGTCTCCTGCCATGGCTGGAACATGGGGGACATTTTGCACTGGTTTATGATAAGGAAATAAAGTTTAGTTTAGAGGCAGTGGAGAATTACCTGGAAAAAATAACAGGAACCACCTGGATTTTCTGGGTGCAGAGGATGGGGAGGATTTAGCCATGAATCCTTGAAGGCTCCCTTGATAGGCAGCTGTCGTGAGTTAGGCCGCTCCAGCAACCAAACCCTACACAGTCGCTCACTCACCCTCCCCCACCCCAGGGATGAGGGAGAGAATTAAAGGAGAAAACGGGAAACCCGTGGGTTGAGATAAGAACAATTTAATGCAGATAAGTACTACACAGTGTAGATGCTTACCACCCCCTCTTATCCAAAGCCCATCTTGTCCCAAAGCTGCAATCTCAGATGAATGCGAGGCCCCGAGACAGAGAGGGAGACAGAGAGAAAGCACCCCGAGAGTCCGAAAGTGAGAGTCTCGAAAGGGCAAAAAGCCCTTCTCTCCGGCTGACCCTCACTTTTATACTGGGCATGACGCTGCATGATATGGAATACTAATTGGCCAGTTTGGCCTCAATCTTAAGTTCCACCACAAATCACAAGGGTAATCGTGGCCCCCTTGTCCCAGCTATGCTCCCCCCTTATCCTGTTGTGCTCCTGCACACTGGCAAGAACACGGCAAGCTGAAAAGTCCTTGAGACCTCAGTGCCAACTACAAACATCAGCTTGCTATCAACATTCTTCTCAGAGCGAGCCTCTGAGTAAAACCAAAACACAGAGCTCTTCTAGCTGCTAAAAAGAAGAGCTAACTCTGTCCCAGCTAAAACCAGGATAGCAGCATAGGGCCACAGCCAACATGAAGCATTAGATAAGCTCTATGAAGAGAAATGAAAATTAGAGATTGCAAGAATGTGCCCTGCTTCATCCCTGTTTGAACTCCTGAACAGCCAAGAGTTTACTAGGGCACTTTAAAGTCATGTAAGTAGGTCAACTTGTCACCAGAGTCTCCTTATCCCCAAAACACGTGAAATTACTTCCTGATGGCCAGCGGATGAGAAGCGAGCAGCAGCAAGACACATCAGCAGCAGCCCAAGGGCATATTGACAAGGCTGAAGACTCCAGAAAATGCATTTTGCATTGCCAGGTGCATTTTTCTGCACAATGTCCAGGTCCAAGCAGCGCCAAAGGAGCTGCTCCTTGCAATAGCAATGGTGCTGCGTGGCCTAAGGCTCCCCAAAGCAGTGGTCAGCCCGAGGGCTTATTCCCAGGCCTCCTCTGGGAAGCACAGAGCAGATCCTGGAAAAAAAAAATCCCACTCAGCCAACACTTCGCTTCAGGGCAAGTCAGTGATATAGCCCAGTATGCCCGTCCTAGTGTGGGCGATGTGGAGGTTGTCTGCTTCACTGTGGCAGCAGGAAGGTGAATTTCCCTCCAGTTCTCTTGGTTTTCAGGGAGTTCCCAGCCTAAGAAGAAAACATCCTGAGAGGCCGGGGGTTCAACCGCCACTCACCAAAGGGATGATGGTGCTCAGCTGGTGACACTTGTTACTGCAAAAGGAGTGTTGCCTTTGTAAATCTCGAGTGGGATTTGAAATGTATGTTAATGGGCAAAAAAATCTCACCATACTGTACCAGAGCTGGTGAGAGATTCATAGATTCATAGATTTCTCGGTTGGAAAAGACCTTAGAGATCATCCAGTCCAACCGTCCCTAATCCCCCATTAAATTAGGATTTATTACAGAGAGAAGCTATTTTTTAAACTTTTAGTTAAAGATGAGTTAGAACTGTTAAATGTTTAAAATGTTACTTTTAGCCAGGCTAGCAGACTGCTGAAAGCAGTATTCTTTCCTTTAATGATAAAATAAAATACTTGCTGAACACCCGAGAGGAGCTTTCTTGACAGCCAGCCGGGAGACAGTGTGAAACCACAAGCAAATGCTGCCACAGTTTTTTACTTTTTCTCTTCCTGGAATACTTTGAAAATATTTTTCTTCTCG